TTCCATCTCTCTATGCCGCTCTCCATTTGTTTCTTTCCACCCCCCCTCCGGCGTGTTCCCCTCTGCTGACTTGAGACTAGTTTGATAACTCACAGAGTGAACCTTGTTTGCTTCAGATTTAGATAGATGGTTGTATGGGTGAATGGATGGATGGATGGACAGGGCTGGGAGGAGAAAAGGCAGAAAGAAGGAGATCTTTGAGAAGTGACTTGTTGGATGACAGCATGCCCACACAACAGCAGTGTGTGGAAAATTCAGCAGCCCAGCATGCACTCAGGTTAGCACGTTTACCTGATAGTGCTGGAACAGCTCCCATACGGCTCGCCACCCACGGTTTGGACGCAGTCGCTGAAAATATATATTTGTAGAAATTAGGGCTGGGTAAAAAATACTGATATCTCGATATTAATCGATTCTCATTTTTACGGAACGATATCGATTCTTAAATCCCAAGAATCGATTAGTCTAGCCTGTTTTCTGTTAATGGACGGAACGTTGAAGGGCACCTCCCATCCAATATATCGCATAAGCATTGTGCTTTGGTACGTTTAATATGAAACAAAGTCTCAGTTTTCAAATTCTGTCCATTGTATTGCAGTATTCAAGCAATAAATGCTGTTTAATGTGAAGTGACAGATCGCTGTAGCGCTTCAGTTCAACAGACACGGCAGTGCGAGGCGCACGTGAAATGATCATCTCCTCCACATTAATACCAGCTTCGGCACAAAATAAACATGACTAAACATCCAAAGGTAAGTTAAAAGAAAGAGTACAACTTTACAATCCATATCCTGTCTCATGTAATCGTTTCAGCTGCGCAAAGACGTCGTCTTGTAAACAATGTCACATAACGTCACATTTACCTCAGAAAAACATATTCGTGACCATAAACTCATTAGTTAGACAGAAAAATAAACTGTAGAGAGGGGCATTTTGCTAAATATATGCATCATATAACATAAAAATTTTACTGTTCTTCAATGTTTAATTTATGTTTGAATAAATCTATCAAGATTTTATGACAGCCACCATTGTTTATTTAAAAAAAATTGAAGTAGGAATATTATTATGTAATTGTAACTTTATTATTTTAAAAACTTCATTAAGTGAAATTTTAACAAATCAATTAATTTTAACCTTCAATATTATAGTAATTTAGTACCAACTGACTCTCATGTATATTTTACAGCATTAGTTGAGAAATTTTTTTTCCTTGAGAAAATTTGGCATGTACTGTACCTGATATATATCCAAAATAATCGATATTGAATCGAATCGAATTGGTAATCGAATCGAATCATGAAATTTGTGTCAAAACCCAGCCC